AGTGCAGGTCAATGCACTGTTGTCGTCGGATCCAAGGCCACGGAGCGCCGCACCCTCGGAGGGATTACTTCGTTTTCTGTACACCTTTAGACTCTAAGAGCGATGGCCTCCAACCTAAGAGCGATAGCCTCCATCCTAGAACTGTCTTTTCGCCAGACTTTCCTTCCGTTCTTTCTTCCTTCCCTTTTCATCCTGTTTGTAAGGAGAAAGCTGAATAGGTCTAGCATAGTTGGGACATGGTGGCATCTTCTTGGCACACGTATCAGAACAATCCTCAAGTCCTCAGAAAAATGGCCGCTACATCTTGCGGCACAGCATCAAACTCCGAGACTGTGGCGAAACGCCTTATGCTGGTGTGACATATGTTCTTGTATTTTTCAGATGGTCAATCTTATAGAATATATTCAACTATAACATTCGCAGCGTTGCTTTCCCCACCATCAAAACCCCGGTCAGCCGCCTCTACATCCGATCCTCGTATCCACATGACGATTGAACTCCTCTAGCCCCCCGGAACCTCACCAGCAAGTGAAGCTTCCCCGGACTTGCAGGCCAAGTGTACGAAATCATTGATGCCCTCAATGGTCTGTCCACCCAAATCTCCAAAACCATCCGCGGGCACTGTGAAGTCAGTACCTGAGACTGCCACAGCTTTGTGGAAGACACCGTGACAATTGAGAATTGAGCCTTCAGATTCCCTCTCACAGATCATCTTGAAACACACGTTTAGTTCAATAGTCACTCACGTCCCCGCCAATTGGGAAATTTGGAAATATGTGAATATATGTGTATATATATATACATAATGCAACTAGGGCTTGTGAGGCCATTGAAGCTCCCTGAAAAGATCTCCGTGAGTGCGGATGTCAGCCCCCAGCCTAACTACAACTCTCCCATGGAAACTGCTGTGCTATGTATATATGATAGATCCTGGTAGCAGTCCTTGGCCCGTGCTCCATGGAATTCCCTCCACCTGCATGTCTAGCTTGTATGGGCCAAAATATGGCAGACGGCCTCTCCATTTATTTGGACTCGGGGAGTGGACGAACATTCTGCTGTTTGGAAGTCATTCAGGAAGAACCGATCAATCACTTGGGATACACGGATACACCCCTGGCCATACCCTTGTGGCGCTTCAACTTCCTCTAAGCCACATCGAGCCCCCGACATCACATAGGCTTCCAAGCTGTTGCCTGGGGCCAAGAGCGCCTTAGAGGCATGGTTGCCTGTTTCACCAAAACAAGTTCTGTCGACATGCCTCCCATCGCACCAGACAGACTTTGCTGATAAAGTTGAGTGCTGAACCAGATTTGTTTACAGCCCGCTCCTACTTAATTGAGTAAGGGACAAACTTGTTCGCTCCTAGCTACTGAGACGCTGCTACAAATGATGCAGGATAGCTCGCGCTTCTTCAAGGAAGCTCCACCCGCCTGAGAGTGGGGAGAGCTTCCTTGAAGAAGAGCTCGCACTAATGTTACTGGATTTTTAGGGAAACTTAACTTCAAAGAAAATGTTTTCAGAAAAAAAAAACAACAATATTGCTCAACTCGCATGCCAACCGCTTAAAATGAAACATCCAGCCAGTTGTTCGTCTACGTCCACATATATACATATGTAAAGCCAACGGCTGCCCCGTGCAGCTCTAAGTCCCCCGACGGCAAAGCGCGTGCCTGCTGCCTGCATCTTGGCATCGTCAGGCAATATGAACGAGGACATCGGGGTGCTCCTGGCATCTATGGACATCAGTGGACACCTCTCGTGGATAGCTTCTGCAGTGTCCGCCCCAAAAGGCACAAATGAGCCAAACTCAACAAGCCAAAACTACTGTGATTTTGGATTTTGCTAACCTCGCCCTGAATCTCTGAGAATTCGGACTCCGCACCAAAATCCAGAGCAACTTGGAAGCTAATCCTACGACAGAAGAGTTGCCCAGCAAAGAGCCCCACTCTGTACCGAACATTCTTCTAGCAAACCTCCAACCCAGAAGTGATGGCCTCCAATCTAGAAGCGATGGCCTCCAACCTAATGGGGAACATTCTTCTAGTAAACATCGGTGCGTGGATGGTCCAGTGCACCAGCACATCCCACCCGAGAAAAACAGCCAAGTTCACGACAAGGTGTCAGCCAGCATTTTGATCGGCGAGTCAGTTGCCCACAGGGACCTTGCAGTACAACTGTTTTTCCATCTGGCGTTTCCTTCAAGCCATTCTCCCTGCAAATGGGTTCGTTCTCTTTCCAAACATGCGGCCAACGCTGCCCTGCTAAGAGCCTTCATTGATGCAATGCTAAATTGGCAAATAAAGCAACTATGCTAACTCACATTGCAACCACACCCGCGCTGAAGTAAGTTGAAACCAAAGCACAAATCACCTAAGTGCAGGCATCTCAGATCAAGAGCACTGGATAGTCTAGAATGGAATGTCAAACCACAAGCCAGTTATTTTGTGACATTGCAACTGGCATGAAGTGCAAAACACTAAGAACGTTTGTCAGAATAACCGTGCAAGGGCAGTTTGCAAAACTCTATTGCTTCCCATCATCAAGCTTTACCCATCGATTGTCCATGTCGCAAGTCCTGCAGCTGTCCTTTCCTCTGTGTTATTCACAGCGGAGTCAAAACAAAAGAAACTGTGTGGACGCAATACGCTGGTGAAAATAGGCGGTGGACTAGATCACAGGGCCCGTATTCGCTTCTGCAGAGAGTCGTTGGGATTTCGACATCTTCGGGCCAAGATGCCAGTGCTCAACTGTTGTGTCAATGCGTCAAACTGTGTGTTCACCCTTAGTATGTTGGCTTCAAGCGCCGCACGCCGCACAACACTTTGTCGAATGAAAGCACGGCTGTGGCTGCACGTCGCACAGTGCATGGGCCACCTGCGGTACTATAGGATCATCATGAAAAGAATGAATGTTAATTTAAGTTAGAATTCCGGCTGCACTTTCGATTTTGCTCCCCAAGCCAGTAAACAAGGGTAGGTAAACAAGGGTGCAAACTAAGTAATCTAGCACAAACACTTATTCAACAACTCGAAATGGATTCCAGCTTGCAACCAGGGGTCGAGTCTCGCGTCTGGTCCACCTCAAAGACTGGCTGTGAGGCCGTGAAGCAAGCACTCAAGAATCCTATGACTCTCTGAACCTATATAAGAATATTCCAGGCACCTCACGTAATGCAGCTTCAATCTGTCTCACTGGCGACAAAGCAGTTTCAAACAAACAACCAGTTTGTATCAACATGACTTGGGCTAATCACACGATAAGTCTCTGCCCAAACGACTCAAAGGAACTTCGGCTACTCACAATACCAAGTACAACAGAAGGGAGACCCACCAATCTCTCCATCAATGGATTCAAGAGCATTACAGTATAGTAACCGGATTTCATTTTCATGCACAACAGCTGAAAACAGTCGCTTTCTCAGCTGCCAAGCATCAATCAACTCGTACATGGTCATCGTTCCAGTGGGCGAGTCGGAGTTGTCGACAGTGATGAGGTTCTAGCAAGATTGAAGCCCATGCAAAGCAGAAAAATAGATCGAAATGGACACTGCATCACTGAGTCACTGGGGACGGAGGCCGCCAACCAAGCTTGAACACCAATTGCTCACCAAGGCTCCAAGAGCAAAGGGTTTGCTGTAGGGTCTTCGTTGCGGAAGCACTGCTCGATCATTGTGATCATCATCTCACCTGCAGGGTTTGTAGGCACCCCTTTTTTTTGCCCGGGGCAGGCCACTAAGAGGAAGAGGCATAGGCTACTAGTCAGTAGCTCTATATAGTCATTAGGTACTGCACGCTCGTAGCAACTGGACGCAGGATAGCTCATGCTTCTTCAAGGAAGGGCCCCCCCTTCCAGGGGGAGCTTCCTTGAAAAACGCTCGCACTATTCATTTTGTTTCTAGATTTGTAGGGAAGCGCAACTTAGGCCATTGCCATTGTTGGAATACCAGACCGGACCTCCCGCATCGGCCAGGTCTAATTCGAGTGGTCTCGAGATGTCGTCGAGGATCTCACCGTTGACCTCGACGCGACGCGTGTCGGAAAGACCTGGTCCTTTCCTGTGCAAATCATATCACTCCCACATGCACCTGGATACTGGGGATTTAGAAGGCAACATCCTCATGTTTCTTGTCAAAGGTCGGTCGGTCATGCAACTTCCACGAGCTTCTGGCTTTCCAACATGCCTGGCTCACACATCTTAGATGGGCCTGGTCTCCAGTCGTATTTCATAGGAGATTGTCGCAAGAAGCTACTAGTAGCAAGGGCACCGCTACTAGTAGCTCCTGGCATTACTACTAGTAACAAGAAGCTACTAGTAACTAGTAGTCCTTCCGGCCGACGCCGAGTGGCATCTTCCATGATGAGGCAAAGACTGGCCAAGGGGATGGCTACTGCAGTGAAAATGCCACTGATCAGCAGAACGAACCTCGGAGGTGTCGCAGGGTTCAAAAATTTCTTCGGTTACTTGTGTGGACATGTGATCACCAACAACTTGCAACAGCTGCTTTCTGTTCATTTGGAGTGGGAATCCTTTTGTGTCCAACATCTCTGTCTTGAGGCAAGCACAACATGTAGTAGCATCCACAGCACCAGGTGCAAAGCCCACAGCGGCATGTGCACCTCCTGCATAGCGAGGAATTTGCAGGTGTAACTTGCTGGTGTAACTCTGAATGCAAGTCCCGTCAAAGTCACGGTCCTGTGCTCGCTTCGTCCTTCCTTGTCTGTGCTCTTCTCAATGCAAATCCAGCAGGTGCCAGTAATCAGACCTCAACCCGAAAGATGCCTATCCGTGTGGAGGGATGGGGTCACGATCCTGCAAAGTCCTGTGGGAGGCTGGAGATCCGTCTGGGATGTCAGTTAACATTTGAATCATGAATCTCACTGGTGGGTCCAGCAATGGCATGGAAGCTATATTATATGTATCTCTAAACGCACGCAACACAATTTACATTTACATCCGTGGATCGACCCTCCTTCCACCGATTTCCGCACATGACTCACTCCTCAAGCTACCAAAACCCAGGTAGAGAGGCTCCACTTTTCTGGTCTCATCTCCACCAAGGAGCTGCAAAGGGCGAGGACCAGGGCAATGCCGATCAAAGCCACACTGGCCAAGGTCCCAACGCTGCCCAACAGATCCGAGACCTGTGCCATGGTATCCTGCGTCACGCAGAGAACCACAAGCTCTGCCGCTTCTGGAATAACTCCCACAAACTCTGGTGCCCAATGTCTTGAAAATCCACAAGTCCAGACCCTGGCTGCCGTCCTGCTCTACGAAAGGCCCGAAAGCCGAATGGATCAAGGTCTTGAGCTCCACCAGGGGCTCCGTGCCGGACAGCATACCTCGGCGCCCACCCCGAGAAGAACCGGGCAACAATAAGACCTCAGGTCGTCCTTACCAAATCCATGAGAGCAAATTGAAACCGAGAAGAACCTTCAGGAAAAGGAGGCGAGAGGAACACAAACCCATCAAATACAAGTCGCTTAGGTGGTTTAAGAGGCTTCAGGAATTCAATTCATCCTTTGGGCTCTAATTGAATGTTGCTCTTGTGCTTCCGGTTGCGGACGATGTTAGTCAGAAGGCATGTTCAGCATGTTTGGATAAATCATGACTTGACGTCGGATGGTTTTCCGGCAGAAATCCACTGTTGCACAGCCTGGTGACTGTCTTTCAGTTTGGCCAAGTTGTCTCCCTGCAACTGTTCTGCCACCACCTCTCGCGTCGAAGCCAAGGCAGCACCTTCAAGCACAGAAGGGTGAGTGCACTGATGTACGTTGTAAAGTTGTGACTTCATCCCGTCGCTCTGTGGGTTGTCGGCATTTCGAAGGACTTGTTCACTCTTGCGGATCACCTAGAGAATGGTATTGTGGCGGACGTTCTAGCAGTGCCCAAATGCTACAAGCGCTTGGAAAAGGATCGAGCCCAGTCAATTGCTGTAAACAATGGTCACCCTTGACGAAAGGATGCCAGCTTTCTTGAACACAAACTGACTTTGCAACCCTCGAGCAGCTTATCAGAAAGAATCTGTGGAGCGTCGCCGGCCACAATTTGACTTAACAGCCCAGTGGCCAACACCATTGTCCAGGGCATCGATGGCTGTGGTGAGGGGCGCAGAGAGGATCGTGCAAAGCTGACATGAATGGAGGAGATCCTCTCCTGGAAATTGCCGCTGGTTTTGCCACGAGTTCTTTTGTCTTGAAAACTATCCAAATCTGCCTTGGTGACGGGTCCTGCCGTTGATGTTGGGGCCACGTTCGCTGCGTTTGAAAGCATCATGTTGATATTGCTCCTCAGTTCAAACAGCATCACAGGCCATGCATTTCCCTACCATTGATTCAACCTAGCGGTTGGGCTACAAGTAACTACAAACACCAGAAAAATCACCGACCAACGCATCACCGATGATACAAGCCTACCCACAAAGCCTTTCTTTTGACGTGAGCATACATATCGTGCGTCCAGTCTGACACTGATTATCCTCCGCTGCCAATTCGGCGTGAAAATCTTCCATGCTGCCTTCAAGACATGTCCACTTCCATATCCCTATTAAATGTGACCAAAGCCGCTCTTGCACCTCGCAGTGTTCTTTTTTACTCAGTTATATAGACACCATGTTGGGCATCCCAAGGCTCATGGTCGCTGAGGCCACCAATACTGCGTCAGAGATATCTTTGGTGTCCGACAGGATGTTTGTGAGTCTATTGAGGAACTGGGAGCCCGGTTCCAGGGAATTCTTCAGCTCCTGTGCCACGGGAGGCGTTCCAAAGGCCCACAGAGGTTTGGAAGTCATTGAAGTTGTGGGGTGTTTGGATACAGTCATACGTTCAGGCATCTAACCCCGTCCATGCATTGTCTCACATCATTCATGCGATCCTGACCGGCTTAAAAACTTTGTGGAGCACTTGGAAACAGCGGACATGCTGGACAGCAAAGGGCATGCGGTCGTGCTACAACACGGTTGGCCACGAACATGCCCCGGAACTCTTGCGCTTCTTCATGCGTGGCGATCGCCGTAAAGAATCGAACATCGGAGTTCCGAGTTTGCACCTCGAAGATCTCCAGAGTTCGAATGACTCCCAGGAACTGGAATTCTGTGTTGCCTCAAGGAGTCCAATGAATCCGATTCAAAAGCGTATCTCGGGCCACCGGCCGCCAAAAATGCCGTTGGCGCTGCAAATGAGCGTGCTTTGTGCGTCAAGGGATTTTCACTTGATCCCGTCTGTCCGGGCAAAAGCTCAGCCCAAGGGGGCCGAGGCTCTGACACTCTTAGCCAGTCACCAAGCAAGATTCCAGCCAGCATGGTGTCTTAGCGTCTCAGAGGCGTTTATCCACGTTGCCACACGGGCCACCCCTCCAGGCCTCCCATGGTACTGTTCACCAGCTTCGCAGCGGTGCCTTGCTTGTGCTGCAATGTGCACGGCAGTGCCCAAAAAAGGGCAGGTTTGCTTTGCGGAGCGGTGTGGATGAAATCAGTTCTGTAATACTTCATCAGCGATATTATACCCATTCCTGTTTGAGGGCAAACAAGAATAGTAAGTGAATTTGCATGTAGGATAGGAAACCGTGATAACCTTTCTACATGTATATATATATATACCTATAATTATATACATATATTCATATCTATCTAAATATGCACTTTCAACGCCTTGCACGCCCTCAACCCACGCAATCCAGTTTTGGCCGTGCTGCATTGAGTGACTTCGAAGCCTGCTGAGGAAGAGTTGAAACCGCGGATGGAGAGTGCGGCGGCAATGATGAGGCCCAGCACGACAGCGCAAATCAGAATCATGAAGATAATCCTTAGCTTTTTGTTACTACTAGTAAGGCACTTGTTACTACTAGCGTGGCACTTGTTACTAGTAGCGTGGCACTTGTTACTAGTATCATGAAGATAATCCTTATCTTTGATTCGAGATCCTAGCTTCGTTTGCATGTCCTCATCTAGCCCAGTGAGCAATCGATGAACCCGGCACATCAACTCTATATCGGTGGAGTTCCAGGGGAACAATGGGCCTTTCCAGAGGTGCCTGAATTCCGTAGAAGGCAGAAATCGCCCGCAATGCTCCCACAATTAGTAGCGTCCTTGCTCCTAGTAGTAAGGCCAGGAGCCGCTAGTAGAGTCCTTGCTCCTAGTAAAGTAAACTCCGGTTTGGCCTCCTTTTTAGGGGTTCCAGGCGAAGCCGTGCCTGTCGCCTGTCTGAAGAGCCCCATGAAAGCCCTGTCATCTTGGAAGTATCTTCAGGATCTGCAGGGGCCAAGTGGTTCATAAGCAGTCGCAATGGGCTGTTGCCAAGTTGCTTGACAAGCAAAGGGCAATTTCTCTTCCTTGGCTGGAACGATCTCTTCTTAAACAACAGAATGCCGTGGAGGAATGCGTTAGTTGGCTCAAACAAGTTACATCCCAAGGAGCGTGTGAAACCCCCAACCACTCAATGCACTCATCTACTTCCTTTCAGCATAAATGTTTGGGAGGCTTCCAAGAACTCATGGACGAAAGTGATTCTGATCTCTGTCCACCTGATGTTGCTATGGCTTCTTTGAGAGGTTCTAATGTGGTAAACTCGCTTCTTTGTTACTAGTAGCGTCCTCTTGTTACTACTAGTAAGGCCAGGAGCTACTAGTAGTGTCCTTGCTCCTAGCAGCGATGCCCTTTGTTCCTAGTAGCAAAAATCAGCAGGTCCGACGGCCCGACTTGGAAACAAGCGACGTGAAATCACTTCATGCCGAGAAGCCTTCGACCTGGGAGAAAAAACACTGCTCTCGTTGGCATTCAACGACCACAGAGGCCAACTGATTGCAATGACCATAAGGGCCCAATGCAGAAATGTGATTTAAAAATCCAGAAAAAAGCCTCTTCTTGGTCTTCAATGGCTATTCCCATGTTCTAGGCAACCTCTTTGAAATACAGTATAGTATACAGTACATGATTGCCCCGAAACATGTTCGCTTCCAGTAAAGCTTCTCAAAGAGCTTCCAATCTCACTATACTTTAGTAAATGGTGTTGCTCCCGGTAGAATCAGGGGTCCATCATTCTCTCTCAAGGCACAGCATTGGCACCAGCAGCAGGGCAGGCACGCCCAGCAGAAATAGAGGACATAGACGACCAAAAAGAAAATGAAGGCGATCAAGGGTCCGGCCTCCCGATCAACCAGTCATAGGTCAATCTCACAACCTGTGACCTCAACAATGACTGGAACAGCTGCGCGCCTGGAACAGCAGAAAGCCAGGGTTGATGGCCTGCTCCTGCAGGTTTCATCAGGGCGAGATGGATCTGAGCTAACATGCAGCGAATGAAAAAGGAATGTCAAAACAGTTGAATCAAAGGAATCAAATGAATATTGGTTTTCCCGTTCTTCCCACGTATTTTGATTCTAGCGGGTGCTGCTCTTCTCCAATAATTGGCCCGCAAAGTAGCTTGACAAAAAAGCGGGTGTGTGGGAGCACGGAAGCTTCTGTGCGTTGCTTCCGACAATCACCACAATTCATTGCTTTCACATGCTTTCACAGAGTCCGTTGTTGTGAGAGGTCGCTCTGCCATTCATGGGGTGAAATAGGAGACACTTTGTAGGAGCAGTTCTGTCATTACAACAACACTCAAAAGCTCTGGATATCTTGAGCGGCGAGTCGTGGCTAAGCTGCTCAACACTGCACCACTTCGCCAGTCCCGCATCTGCACTTGCAAATCATCTGGACTTGAGGACTCCTTTAAGATCTTCCTTAGACACAAAGAATCTGCAGTAATTGACTTTGGTCACTGACTGTTCCCCAATCGAATTTGAACATCGATTGCACACGTGGAGATCAAAATGACTGGCCAGTCGTGACAACCTGCCGGTGCTGGCGGGGTGCAAAATGATGTTGTCCTTAGTTTTCAGTTTTCATCCACCAGTTGCTTGCTAATAGCAAGGACGCTACTAGGGGCCCCTGGCCTTCCTACTAGGAGCAAGAAGCTATTAGTTTTAATCGGGGACTACCGTGATTTCAAACTAAGGGCTGTGGGACTACTAGAGTGTCGAGTACATTACAGTAGGGGGGGGCAGCAGCGTCATCAGAATCAGCATGAATTCACATTGTACCCGCTCCAGCTAAAGGATGTAGCTCAAGCAATTTGATGAATCTGCAAGCGCAACTCTTTGCTCACCTGGGTTTTAAGAAATGATGACATGGGTGACAGTTTCTTATCAGGGACAAGGGCAATCGAGTCTTCAGCGATTTCAATAAATAGGCAGTTCCCTGCTCCATCTGTTTTCGCCCACATCGTTCTGCGAAGTTTCCGCGGATGCCTTCACCAGGTCGTCCCGCCGGGCGGTGCGGTCCTCCTCCGTGATGTCCTCAGACGGCCGAGAAAAGATTGAGGAGTTTCGGCCTGGGAGACAAATGAAAGAACTCGAAAAGAAAAATGCCGATATCTAATATCTAAGGAAATCTTTAGATTCCTTCAGATTTGTTTCCCTTCTTTTGAGTTCGTTTCTGGGTGTGCAAAAAGCATTCTTAGTTTCTAAGGGGCTAGTACCGTCCAAGAGCTGATTGGGAGCCAGGGCTAACAAGAGGTCGGTGACCTTTTTTCAGGAAAATGTGTCACCAATGGTTCGTAAAACCAGTGCGACCAGTGTCATCAAGCCCATCGTGTCACCTGTGTCACCTGTGTCCGACTCTGACTCCGAGCGTCCATGAAATCCTGCTTTGCGCAAGCCTCCTCGACCTGCGCAGAAGCAATGGTGCACCATGGGGAAAAGGAAACGGCATACTCAAAAGTGCTTGATTAGTTGAAGCCAGGAAGGGGATACATGGTGCGTGTGCTTTCGGCCAGAATCAACTCACATCCCTTCCATTTGGCATGTCAAGACTGGGTCACAAGCTAAAATGTGTTCTGCAGAAGAAGCTTCTCCTTCCTGCTCTATGAAATCTCCCCAGCCCTCAAATCCCGCACATCAAACCTGGGGATTGTGATAACAAGATGGAACCCACGAACCCGAATTAAAACACGATCGAAAAACTACATATGTCCAAATGACACTCTTGTCGGACACTCTTGTGGGACACTCTTCTGGGACACTCTTGTAGGACACTCTTGTAGGACACTCTTGTGGGTCACTCTTGTAGGATACTCTTGTGAGACACTCTTGAGCGACACTGTTCCGGGACACTCTTGTGGGACATTTTTGTGGGGCACTCTTGTGGGACACTCTTGTAGGACACTCTTGTGGGACACTCTTGTAGGACACTCTTGTGGGACACTCTTACACGACACTCTTGTAGGACACTCTTGTGGGACACTCTTGTAGGTCACCCATGTAGGACACTCTTGTAGGACACTCTTGTGAGACACTTGTGGGACACTCTTGTAGGACACTCTTATGGGACACTCTTGTAGGACACTCTTGTGGGACACTCTTGTGAGACACTCTTGTGGGACACTCTTATACGACACTCTTGTGGGACACTCTTGTAGGAAACTCTTGTGGGACACTCTTGTAGGACACTCTTGTGGGATACTCTTGTCGGACACTCTTAAGGGACACTCTTGTGAGACACTCTTGAGCGACACTGTTGCGGGACACTCTTGTGGGACATTTTTGTGGGACACTCTTGTGGGACACTCTTGTAGGACACTCTTGTGGGACAGTCTT